CACACACACACACACACACACACACACACACACACACACACACACACACACACACACACAGATATATAGAGAAAAAGTCCTCCAGTCAGGATGGAAAAAAAGTACAGGACCAAAGGACACAAGTAGTCAACCATACATGATAAGTCATGATACCCAAGTCTGTACAGTATTAGCATTGATTACAGTCCAGAAATATTATTTATATTTATCTTTCTCTAAAGAAGGTCAACTGGATCTACATAAACCCAGTTTCTGGTCGCATCAACATTAATTAGACACCTTGTAAATCTTTACATAGAACTGCAATAGGTGATCAGTGGTAACTCTTCCATTGATTATTCATAATTTTACAGTAAGCTAGTATTAGAAGAAGGGGATGTGGTGGCGCTGTGGGCTAAACCGCAGAAGCCTGTGCTGCAGGGTCAGAAGACCAGCAGCCGTAAGATCAAATCCATGCGATGGAGTGAGCGCCCGTCACTTGTCCCAGCTCCCACCAACCTAGCGGTTCGAAAGCATGCAAATGCAAGTAGATTAATAGGGACCACTTCGGTGGGAAGGTAACAGCATTCCGTGTCTAAGTCGTACTGGCCATGTGACCACAGAATATTGTCTTCGGACAAAACGCTGGCTCTATGGCTTGGGGATGAGCACCGCCGCCTAGAGTCGAACACGACTGGACAAAAATTGTCAAGGGGAACCTTTACCTTTTTAGTATTATAAAGCATGTAGCTAAAACGTTCTGTAAATAATCTTTAAGTAATCACCTAGCTACACTGGGCTAGGTGCATATCTAGGGGCATTTCTCTGTCTTAATTCATACTTGATATTATAGAAGATAAGATGTAAGAGAAATTATGGGAGGCTGTGGGAAGATAGGAGCAGCAAAATAAGGTGTTCCAGTGTTTCATCAAAACCTGCCTTCAAATTAACATAAGAGTCATTATACATGTTCGGAATGTCATCAGGAGTACAGTAATGTGAAAGAAACATATGAGCAAAGATTATAAAACCCAAGGCAAAGTTCATTTCTAATGCTTATTGATAAATTATCCTCAGGACTCTGAACTGTCTTCTCTTCTTATGTATTTTATTCTTGAATGCATGAAAAGACAAACATGAGAGATCAGGACACACAGAATTCTCCTCCATTCTAACCTGGAAGTTCTCGATCTTTAAATGGATCCTCAATCTCTGGGCTCTTTGATCTGGCATCGCTTTCACAGACTGGGGTCTCATATCTAGACAATGGAGAGATCAAAATGTAGCGCCTTCTTAAAATATGGTTCTCAAGGGCTCTCACACATCTCTTTCCCTTTGGTGAACACAAATTCAGATATTTTGTAGCAGGCAGCTACTAACTTTAGTACAGAATACCTGTAAAAATAATGCTGCACAATCATGTAAGACTATTCTCATTAATATCTTAGGCTAGATTTTAATGGCATCCAGCAAATGGGTTTGGGTGCTCAGCCAAACTGATGCTTAGCTTTTTAAAGCTGTAGAAGAAGAGAATGTGGGGTAAGATAGAAGAACTTCTCACGGCATTTCATAAAAGTAGCCCCGGACAAGGACCCAGACAAGGTGTAAGTAGGAATGCTCTGGGAATGGGCTGGTTTGTGCTGGCATTTACTGGAAGTAGGAGTAAACCAGCCCATCCCCACAGAGGACCAAATGAAATGCTATCTAGTCACCTTCTTTGACTGTTCCTCAGGCTTAGCTCTGAGCAACTAGGAGGGAACAAGAAGGGTGGCAACATGGAATTTAGGTGTGTCTGTGAGCTTTTATGATTCCCAACAATTCACAGCCAATCCTCCCCTCCAAAATGAGTAAACTAAAAGTACCTTTTCCAGCTCTCCAACCTAAATAGTCTCCCACGTAAAGGAGACAACAGACAGAAGAAGAAATCAGTTCCTGAAATACGCTTTGTAAATTGTTTTGTTAAAGTCGGAACACAGGAATCATCTCAACACCTGCAGAGTGGCCAGGGACTATGTCTCTAATATGAACAGAACTAGGTTAGACTTCCTTTTAGCAGGGTTTCTAGGGCTCTCTACAGCCCATCAATGTACCTAGAAACACTTTTAAACGAAGGGCTCCATCTGCAGCTGTCTCTCTTTCTCATCCTTTCTAGAAGTTCAGTCCAGCAGTCAGTATCTAAAGATAGTGGTGGGAGGATTGATTCCAAATGTATATATCTAATGTATACTGGGCAACCAGTATCCCTTGTTGTACACCTATTTTCACTTCTTCTGGATCATTTCTGCCTACAGGGCATTTTTATCATCTGAGAGGCTGCTTTGCACCTAGAAATCTCAGGACTTATTTGAAAAGCCTCTCAGCTTTAACATTGCATAAATAGCATAAAGAAATTCCATAGTTCACTATGGTCCAAATTCAGTACAGTGGTGCCTTGCTTAACGAGCGCACCGTTTAACGTCGAATTTACATAGCGACACGTTTTTTGCGATTGCTAATGCAAAACATCGCATTTCACTTACCGATCTTCGCATTGCGATGTTTAGAAAACAGCTGATCGGCAGTTCCAAAATAGCCACCGGGTGCAGAAAATGGCTGCCTGCAGCGTTTTTGCACCCTGCCCTCGCTTACCGAGGCAGCGGAAATGGCGGCCGGATGGGGAATCTTCACTTACCGGTGAGTTTTACCCCCATAGGAACGCATTAAACAGAGTTTAATGCATTCCTATGGGGTTTTACGTTCCATATAGCGATGTTTCCGGATAGCGACATTAATCCTGGAATGAATTAACGTTGCTATGCGGGGCACCACTGTATAAGAAAGCCACACACTTAAAGGCAAGCAAAGCAAAGTGTGCTGCTTATATACTGCCCCATAGCACTTCAAGCACTCTCTGGGTGATTTACAAGTTAATTACACAGGCTACACATTGCCCCCCCCCCAGTGAGCTGGGTACTCATTTTACCATCCTCGGAAGGATAGAAGGCTGAGTCAAATTTGAACCAGCTACCTGGGATTGAACCCTGGGTCGGGAGCACAGTTTTGGCTGCATTACAGAAGTTTAACCACTGCACCATGAAGCTCTTCACATTTGTTCCTCTTACTTGCTGTTCATCATATGGCCAGGAATATGGCTGGGCACACAATCATTTTCTCAACCAGAGAACGGAGGAGAGCATAATAGATGGCCAGCTGTACAGGTAGAACTGCTTGTACGTTTGCCAATTTATGATGCATGTTTACAACAGCACTTTGGCTTATATATTTAATGAACACAACACACAACTGTTCTAGCAATCAAGAGTTCAGTGGCAGAAAAAAAGAAACAGGAGAACAATAGAGATTTTGTGTACTGCAAGTTGTAATCACCATCTTTCATATTTTTCAGATTTCCCAAACCCAGGAAAAGATTAAAAAAAAACTTTAAGAAATAATACATTCATTTCCCCAAAGCATTTATAAAACATACATCATCACCTTAAAATATTTATGCCTCAGATTGCCACCAGGTTGGGCTTAAACAATACCTTCTAAACCAGTTATACTAGAGTTTCAGGTGGGGAAGAAATGAAGTTCAAGGACTTTTAAAATCATATATAACTACAGTATTTAGCTATAAGCATATTTAAAACTGGACATTTAAGCCATGGCTACTGCTTGCTCCTGTAGGAAAAATTACATCAAAGCATTCTGGGCCCATGTGTACTATTTACTAGCAGGATAATACGCTTCTCAACCAGAAATAAAATGTGTATTTGAAGGACGACGGGAAATAGAGCTTGAAATGGAGCATGGAATGGTGGCATGTTCCCTTCCTTCCATGTCTCAACTTATTCTTATGATAATTGATATAAGTTGCTACGATAATTCATATATGCCATCAAGTTATTTCTGCCTTATATTGGCCTGCTCAATATTTCCCAGGTATAATGTACTCGGAAGTAGTTTACTAGTCACTCCTTCTAGTGGTGGTCTGAGACTGTGCAGCTTGTCCAAACCTGCACAGATGACAAGGCATGTAAGCCTATCAGCCACCCAGGCTCTTGGCCAGCCCTTTTCTCTCTTGGTGATGTTGTTGGCTCCTCTCCAAAGAAGCACAGTATGGATTTGAATTCAAAACCTTGGCTCTGCAGCCATTTGCTTCAACCTACTATGCTACACCAGGGCTTCACCTTCTTATTACAGAAATTTAATTCAAAGGAAATTATTCTTACCGAGTGGAAGTACCAGGTAAGGGACGACCTGTGTCTACCAGAACACACCAGCAATATCCAGTAGACTGATGACACTGTACTGGCTTATATAGCCCTCCAGGAGCACATTCAGGGATGACAATCCCTTCCCTGGGGTTCTGCCTGGCTTCTTCAAGAGCACTTTGCCTCTCTTGGTCACAGGAATTAACTTTCTCTGGAAAAGGCAGCACAAGAAAATTAGTACAGTATAGACAACACAGAAAGAAGCCTCATCACTGCAACACCTACCATGTGGAACAGTTTTCCTATTGAAACCATAAGTGCTTCTGTTGCTAAAAGTATTCATTTCCCCTGGCACAGTTCTCTCTCCTACCAAGGCCACCACAATGTTCCTTGTCAGTTCTTTTCAATGATGTACTTTACTGTTCACCAATGTGTTAATTGATTGGCTTGACTAATGACTTGTTATGATTTTATTTGGGAACCACTTAAGAGATTTTAAAAATAATTAAAACCAGAATCAAAATCAATACAATTTAAAATAATAAGTAGGCCCTCCATCATATTATAAAGCAAAAGGACATTGACATTCAGAGAAGGCCTTTGCTAATCAGGCCAGTGCTCCTCAGCTCACGTTTTTTAAACATGTACCAACAAATTCTTAATTAGAAGAACATCCTTCGTGACAGACAAGGTTCCCTCAATATTTCCAGCATTATAACCGAGCTAGGGTTGTACAGGACTTGAATTGGGATGTAGAGGCTCTAGGTTCTAATCCCAGAGAGCCATGAAATTCACCAGGTGATCTTGAACCAGTTGCTATATAGACTATCCTCACAAGGCTGCAATGAAGATAAAGTGAGAAGAAGGAGACGTATGTATACCACCTCGGAGGACTGGTAGGATACACATGGAACTAATATATATATATCATAACCACTGGAGAGCACTGGACATGTGCAAAGGTGCAATGCACTCAGTTAATTCAATCATCCTGAGGCACAAGTGCATGAAACCCAAAAGTCACTTGTATGCTACATGGCAGATCTGTAGGGGTTCATGACCAGTCAACTGAATGTAGGATTCCTTGTGAGGTATGAAAATTACTGCCCAGATATTTCAACCAAAAATAAATAAGATTACTACAGAGAGACTTATTTAAATGGTTTAAAAAGAGCTTCAATTACTTCCACAGACATAGCATAACCAGAATGTTTATTAGTGCTGCAAAGCAGAGCCAGGTGGAGAGATGAAAATGATGTTGATGGTGATTTTAAAAACAGGAACATTTTAAAAGCTCAGCTGATCTTTAAGCTGATTTCATTTTGCTGACAAGGACCCTCCCCCGCCAATAGTGACTGGTTTTGGCCCTATGTACAAACAGAAGAGTCATTCATTAAGGGGCCTCTAGGCATCCCTACAAATCAATTACATCACAAGCTGCTAAATTACTCAAGCTCCCTGCTTGACAGCAATTTACACCTGTCAAGGTGAGGTAGGTCATTCATTTACTCAGATGCAAGGAATAAGTAGCCATTTAATCCCCTCTATGTTCTGCTCAGGTTTTCCATTCATTTGCCTTACGCAAGTGGTAAAAAAATCCTCTGCTGAAATGAAGGGCATTCCAAGCATATTTATTTTTGACCCTACAAGGCAGCTACAGCCAGAGATTCAACAACATGCTGAGGCCAAGTTCTGGTTCACATCAGAGAATGTAGCAAGGCCCAGGATCTGCAGGATCCAGCACTTCTGGATCCTGCAGACTTCCTGGCAGATTAGGGAGTCTGTTCCAACTCATCCTCATTGGAGGACTCATTCAGAAGGGCCATGGCACACCTTTCTTTAAAATTCTAAGCAGAAATCCACACTTCTAGTTTTAGCGTTAAAATACTGGGATGAGTCTAAAGAAGCTTTTGAGAAAGGAGGGAACGGTACTACAATGTGCAACAAAGACATTCCATGCTGTCAGCACTCTGGGCAAGCAAGAGTGGAAATGCTTGTTGCTGTATTCTGAAGTCTCAATGGGAAGACAGACCTTAAAATCCTTACTAGCCTATGTCCTGAGTTTCCACTAGTTCACCCTCAGAAACCTTTTTTGAAACATGAAGGTACTTTTGATTCCTTACTAGAGATGAGCATGAATCAGAAAAAATGGTGATTTGTTTTTATTTGTGATTCATGAATCATGAATTACACATTTAACATCTGTCCTGGGGAAACCAAATCTTCATCAAATTTGGAGGGATTGTAGAGGAGAGTCAATAGACGCTTCTCTGTGATTTTGATGTTTCTAGGGCTCTGGGGGGGGAACCTCTCCTGGGGGGGTTCTTTGTGGGTGTATATCCTGGACATCTGAAACCCAATCTTTACCAAACCTGGGAGGATTGTAGAGAACCAGTCAGAGGAAACGTCCCTGCAAGTTGGTGTCTCTAGGTGCCTGGGGGCATTTTATAGCCCAATTAATTGATGAAATAAAAATTACTAAAATTAACTGATTTGCATTCATCAGGAGCATTGATTGATACGAATAGTTAGGCATCCTTCAGTCTCGAAAGACTATGGTAATGTGCTCTGTATGGAGGGCTTGGAACAGCGCCTAGTGTGGCTGAGAAGGCCAATTCGAGAGTGACAGTCCCTTCCACACTGAAGACAAATCCAGTCTGTCCCCTGTCCGGCTCCCTGGTTTTGCTGCTTTTGTGACTTCCTCTTTGCCTCGGCCTGCTGGGCAAGGGTCTCTTCAAATTGGGAGAGGCCGTGATGCACTGCCTGCCTCCAGGCTGAACGGTCAGATGTCAGGGTTTCCCATCTGTTGAGGTCTATTCCTAAGGCCTTCAGATCTCGCTTGCAGATGTCCTTGTATCGCAGTTGTGGTCTCCCTCTGGGGCGCTTTCCCTGCACTAATTCTCCATAGAGGAGATCCTTTGGAATCCGACCATCAGCCATTCTCACGACGTGCCCGAGCCAACGTAGACGTCGCTGTTTCAGTAATGTGTTCATGCTGAAAATTCCAGCTCGTTCTAGGACTGCTCTGTTTGGAACTTTGTCCTGCCAGGTGATGCCAAAAATCCGTCGGAGGCAACGCATATGGAAGGTGTTCAGCTTCCTCTCCTGCCGTGCACAAAGAGTCCATGACTCACTGCAGTACAGGAGTGTGCTTAGAACACAGGCTCTATAAATCTGAATCTTCGTATGTGTCGTCAGCTTCTTATTGAGCCATACTCTCTTTGTGAGTCTAGAGAACATGGTGGCTGCTTTGCCAATGCGTTTATCCAGCTCGACATCTAGAGAGAGGGTGTCAGAGATGGTTGAGCCGAGGTACACAAAGTCATGAACAACCTCCAATTCTTGTGTGGAGATGGTAATAGAGGGAGGTGAGTCCACGCCCTGGCCCATGACTTGTGTTTTCTTCAGGCTGATTGTTAGTCCAAAGTCTTGGCAGGCCTTGCTGAAACGATTCATGAGTTGTTGGAGGTCTTCAGCAGAGTGGGCAACAATGGCTGCATCATCTGCGAAGAGGAAGTCCCGCATGCATTTCAGTTGGACTTTGGTCTTCGCTCTCAATCTAGAGAGATTAAAGAGCTTTCCGTCTGATCTAGTCCGGAGATAGACACCCTCGGTTGCAGTTCCAAAGGCATGCTTCAGCATGACAGCAAAAAAGATCCCAAAAAGTGTTGGTGCAAGGACACAGCCCTGTTTCACTCCGCTTCGGATGTCAAAGGGATCTGATGTTCAGCCGTCAAAAACTACAGTGCCTTTCATTCCATCGTGGAAGGACCTGATGATGTTAAGGAGACAAGGTGGACATCCAATCTTGGGAAGTATTTTAAAAAGGCCATCCCTGCTAACCAGATCAAATGCTTTTGTAAGGTCTATGAAGGCCACTAAGAGTGGCTGTTGTTGTTCCCTACATTACTCCTGCAGCTGTCGGAGGGAGAATACCATGTCAGTGGTGGATCTATTTGCTCGAAATCCACACTGTGATTCCGGATAGACTCTGTCTGCAAGCACCTGGAGCCTCTTCAGCACAACACGGGCAAGCAGCTTCCCTACAACGCTAAGAAGAGAGATACCACGGTAGTTATACAGTTCGGAGGTGATGATCTCCTTACAGCATTTCAGCACTTCAGCGGTGATGTTATGCTTTCCAGGTGCCTTGCCGGAGGCGAGGGAGTCCAAGGCCGCTTTTATTTCTGCTAGGGTTGGTTCGTTGTCCAGCTCTTCCAAGACAGGCAGGCACTCAATGTTATTTAATGCTTCTTCGGTTACTACATTCTCTCTGGAATATAGCTCGGAGTAGTGCTGTACCCAGCGTTCCATCTGCTGTGCTCGGTCCTGGATGAGCACACCTGTAGCAGACTTCAGGGGAGCAGATTTCTTCTGTATTGGACCTAAGGCCTGCTTGATACCGTCATACATTCCTTTGATGTTACCTGTGTCCGCTGCTAACTGTATCTGAGAGCAGAGCTGGAGCCAATAATTGTTGGAGCATCTCCTGGCAGCCTGTTGGACTTGACTGCGAGCAGCTCGAAGAGCTTGCAAGTTGTACTCGCTAGGACAGGCTTTGTATGCTGCTAGAGCTCTTCTCTTATCCTCAATGGCTGGCATTAACTCCTCTGAATGGGCTTCGAACCAGTCAGCCATCTTTTTGATCTTCTTGCCAAAGGTGGACAAGGCGGTATTATAGACAGTGTTCTTGAAGTGTTCCCATCGTTCATGTGCATTTGCATTAGCCGGACCTGGAAGGACTTCCTCAAGTGCTTGGGCAAATTCCTTCACTTTTCTTTGATCGTGAGTCTTGCTGATGTCAATACGTGGTCTTCCTTCCTTTTTCGTGTGATATACTCTCTTTGTTCGTAGTTTTACTCTACTACACACCAGGGAGTAATCAGTATCACAATCAGCACTCTGGTAACTGCGTGTGATCGTAATACTAGGAAGGCTGGAACGTCTAGTGAGGATTATACGAATACGAATTGACAAATTAGCAATTTTTGAATAAATTCAGTAATTCATTTTTTAATTCAGGTACATCTCTATTCCTTACACTCCTGTTTTTTATTTTTAGGGATAGAAACAGCTGAAACAGTAAAGAATATCCCTGAATCAATTTAGTAGAAATACATTGGGTGATTGAATCTGATACTGGCAGGTTTGTCCGTCACAACACTTTTTTTTATTTTGCAGCAATGCTAAGGTCCCACTCCCTATCAATTA